TATACATTTTAGGGGGAATTTTCCATTAGATCATGTGTAGTGACCATGGGATGTTTCTAGGGGAACTTTTGCTTCATATTTATTTCTAAAATATGGAATCCAGAAAAACCAGTGAAAAACAACCAGTGTTTATGTTGAGGTTGCAAAGGCACATTGTTTTGTGCATTTCAAACTCATGCTTATTTTTCCAATGCCAGCCTTATCTTTTATATTTAAAGAAAGTATGGCGCTGGGCATGGTGGCTCATACCTGTAATCCCAGCACTTTGGGAGGCTGAGGAGGGCAAATCACATGAGGTCAGGAGTTTGAGACAAGCCTGGCCAACATGGTGGAACCCCATTTCTACCAAAAATACAAAAAAATAGCCGGGCATCATGCCACATGCCTGTAGTCCCAGCTACTGGGGAGGCTGAGGCACAAGAATTGCTGGAACCAGGGAGGTGAAGGTTGCAGTGAGCCTAGATCGCACCACTGCACTCCAGCCTGGGTGACAGAACGAGACTCTCTCTCTTAAAAAAAAAGAAAAAGTATGGCATTTAGCTCCTTTACTAAAAAACACATACAGTTCAGTTCTGTCTCTTAATCTATTTCTGAGGATTGTTTCTACCTCTATCTCAAATGCTTTGATGCTCAAATGAGCCCTGGACTTATACATTGAATAATGTTTGAAAGCAGCAACTGTAAAAGCATCGTATTATAAAATCAAAATTTACAGTGATGGGTCAATTTAAAGATTGCAAGGCAACAGAGATAGAAAATCAACAACATAATAGACGAGACATTGGCAGAAGTTCACTTGATCATCACCTTTTTTCTTGTGCTTGTTGGTTCTGGCAGAAATTCTTTCTAAAAAAGAAAAAGAGGAATGATTTGATGGGTTCTTGCTTTTATTTTGTGAGCTTAGTGTTTCTGACTGCCTTCCAAATACTCCTACCTGGATATCCCATTATTAACTCAAATTCAAGCTGTTTTCATGGAAATTACTTTTCATGATTCTCCAGGGATTAAAGGAAGCATTTCAATGCCTTGCTCTGGCCTCATGACTTCTGCAATGAGTCCAGAGAATGCAGCCACCTCATTACTCCCAATTTCTTGACACACTGTGGAACAGATTTGCGTGCTGTCCTTTCTCTGTACGTAGAATGCCCCATTCTACATTTTTGCTAGTTGTTTGTCTTTTTGGCCTACCTCAGTGCAAGAGTTCCACAAAATGGTCCTCAACCTCAAAACCAGAAATGACTTTCTCTTCTCCGAACTATTGTACCTCTTCCTGCAGGTGTCTCTTGTGAGAACACTGACACCCTGTCCAGGCCTGTAATTATGAAAGCACAGCCTTCCTTCTGGGAAGGGGCTCACACTTTGTATACCCTCCATAGCTTTAGATGTGGTTCAATAAGTATTTGCTGAGCAAAGATCTTTTACTTTGCATATTAGTTATTTATTTATTTTTAGAGATGGGGTCTTACTATGTTGCTCAGGCTGGAGTGCAGTGCAGTGCCTACTCACAGCCACAATCCTACTACTGATCAGCAGGGAAGTATTGACCTGCTCTGTTTCCAACCTGGACTGTTTCACACCTCCTCAGGCACTCTGGTGATCCCCTATGTTGATGCTGAACTTAGCATGGACACCTGACTGGCATAGTACACTACAGCCCAGAACCCCTGGGCTCAAGTGATTCTCCTGCCTCTGTCTTCTGAGTAAGTGGGACTACAGACATATGCCACTGTGCCTGGCAGATCTTTTTTTTAATTGTCAGAGTGGCATGAGGAAGGACTGTCTGTGGGTGTGCAACAGAAAGCACTGTATTTGGGGTTGAAAGACACACGTTCATCTGCAGCAAAGACCCTGTCCCTGCTTTGTGACATCAAGGGGTTGATATGAGAAGCAATGTTACTTTGAAATGCAATTTATTTCTATTCTCTTATAAGAATAAGTTTGAGATGGCCTATCCAAAGAAATCTTGTTGAAATGTTTTGTAATCCAGGAACTACTGAAAGGAATGAGGCACATCCCCCATATATCTCCCAACTTCCTGAGTCCAGCACAAACACATTCCTCCATATTTCTTTCAAACTTCAGAAAAACATCACCTGGGAGATCTCCGATAAGGAATGCTAAATGTATAATGTTAACCAATTGTAATGCTGTAACCGAGAGAATTACCTTGTTCCCTGTA